GACGAAGCAGTCAAGCATAATTTCCAACTGTAGGCCCGCGTGTTTTCTTAAAAGCTGTGTGTGTAAGTAAGTACGCATGCAGCTGGGAGGCATTGCGTCGCCATAAAGCTGCGAAATAGGAGAACTTGCAACGATAACTCTTACTCTCTTATTAAAGTCCTTTTCAATATTTTCTCTTTGTACTATGAATTTGCTACATTCTGTCCCCTGATCCCCACGCAGATATGAGTACCGTGTGGAGATGGTGCATCAGGCCTCACGCGATCCTTCTAGAAACATTGCGCGCGAATTCGCCTCCGAGTTCGAAGTTGGCGAATGCTGGGGCTACAATCGCTTCTTCCGCTTGGACCTCCTATCTAATGAGGGCTACCTCTCACCCTCTGATGATACGTTAGTGTTGGAATTTCACGTAAGCCTGAGTCTCCTTTATGGTTATTAAACCCGGAAATCTTGGGCAATTTGTTGAGCATAGGTTTTATACTTGCAAAATGATGAGACCAGAAGAACTTTTACCGCGTACAGAAGTGCGCTTTCGATATCTTTCTAGACCAATGTACCTCTATGTCGTTAATAATTTCTAACCCATTAGTCGCACCAATTATTCTTTTTGCAAGCATTTCTCTGCAGTTGACATTTAGAAGGGATGGCATGATTTCTCCAAAGGATACGTGATAATTATATTACTCCATATTGAATGTATGATTCGGACTAATTGGCCGCTTACTATTGTACCAACAGTCTACACGCATTTCTTTTACACAAGTTGATGACCTCTGTGTTTGCGATTGAAAACTGATACAGGGTAGACACTGGGTAGACCATGTAAAGGATTGCGTAAAGTCCGCCCGGCGACCAGCATCTGCCGGATGTGGGAGAAAATAGCACGCCGGACGAAATTTTATAAGTCTGGGTAACTGTTGCTTTTTTTATTAGATGAAGAAGTTCTCTCAACCCTGTTGTTCATCTTCCAAATGAAAATACGGGTCTGTTTATCATTTTTTGGATTTGTACCAGTACTAGTACTATTCCTTCTACAGCAGCTCATGTGGACTAGGAGTTGGCTTGGACGGAGTGGCTGGCTTGGCATAATATGCCCGTCTCATTGCGTTCCATGTGTTGGCCGCCCGACCCACTTCAAATAGACTTCAACCATCGATCAGACTTATCATAAAATCACACTAAGATGGAACGATTTCACCCCCAAACTAAGTCATCCTTGCAGATGGCATCCCTCCCAGCTGTGATAGTTCAAAACCTGTCCGATTATACTATAAGAGGAACGGTCGTTTCGGACCGGTCCGCTTGCCCGCCTGCCTGTGTATCTTCACGAAGTGGTGATAAAGCAGCATTAAGCCGACTGTATATACGCATTTTATCTATCTCGGTACAAAACTAATTGTATAGTTTATTATACCTACTGTCAGTCCTCGTTTTGGTCTGACTCGACAGTACCGCTCCTTTTAGTGGCCCATAATCACATCACACCCCTTTTTGCTTAACCACCATTCCACATATTTTAGTCTTCTTTGGCTGCAGTTCATCTTTTAAGTACGTCGCTCTCCGGCTCCTCGCTGTCACCCGTACCATGCCGTTGCATCCAACAACAGGGGCGCTCTTTTTCTGGCCCCAGTTGATTTGCTCCCATCGATCCCATTGCCTATTCTTCTAATCATCTCACCCCAGGTCAGGGCACCGACCTTCTTCCAGAAGTGTCGCGACCTGCAGTGGTACGTCTCCCAGCTGGAAACCAACGAAGGCAACTACCTGGCCCAGATTGCAGACTACAAGGATCGTCTAGCACTGGAGCTGGGTCGTGCAGGTGCCACAGCCAATGCTGTAACCAGTACAACAGCAGCAGCTGGCGAGCCCGGTCCTAGCGCGCCTACCGTCAAC